GGGGTGAGCGAGGCGCCGGTGTGCGCGTCCATGGCGGGGGGCAGGGCACCAACGCCGGCGCACGCGGGGCGTAGGACGAGGAGTGGGAGAGTGCAAGCGCGTGCGCTCGAGTGTGCCGCGCGCTGTAGCTGGCGCTCCAAATACATCGCGCGGATAAGTGTTTTTGACCGCGCGCCCAATCCGTTATCGCACGCGTGCCGTTTTTGCGCGCCCGCTGAGCGAGCCGCCGCGTTGCGCGCGCGCTAAAAAGGCCTATTTTGCGGCGCGGCGCTAGTTTAGCGCGGCTGTTGGAGATGCTCTTAGATACTTCAGATTATATAACCTCCTCATTTTGCTTCTGAATGGCATAAAACACTTTTTTTATCCAGGAATCATCATACAACATAAAAAAATTGCCACAAAAAAGAAACAAATACCAGCATGTGTAGGTACAAGCTACAATAAACAATCAGAGAACTTTGAAGGCCATGTATGGTTGTATCAACAGCAGATACTTTCAGATCATATAATCTCCTCATTTTGCTTTTCAACTACATAAAGCACTGAAACTTCAACTCAAACAATACCCATTACACACTAAAAAGATATATCCACCAACAAAGGAAGAAAACAATACCAATAGGAGAACTTTGAAGACTGTGTATGGATATCATTTTGCTTCATAACAACTTTAACATGTTTTTTCTTCCTCGGGTAACATCAATGAAGAAAAGAGTTGTGAGAAACAATCAGAGAACTTTGAAGACCATGTATGGTTATATCCACATTAGATACTTCAGATCATATAATCTCCTCACTTTGCTTTTCAACCACATAAAACACTGTAACTTTGACTCATAGACATCAGTAAGACGTAAACACAACAATCAGAGAACTTTGAAGACCATATATGGATGCATGGAGCATTTCATTTGTGCACCATGTTTAACATCACACAATCATAATAAGAACAGAACTACTCTACATACAATTTTTTGTTATGATTTATGTACAATAGTCAATCTAATGGTTCTGCTGCACTTTGATTTATTCATTATGGATTGTGTGTCAGTACTGTCATACGAAAATCCTGCCAACTAACAAGAAAGCAGAAATGTACAAATTAAAGGTGCAGTAATGCACAAGTGAACACCAACAAATATATAATATATATACATATATATATTTTTTGAAACAACAAGCATTTTGACACAAAATGCACAGCTATCTTGACAAGCATGTTAGAGCAAACATGCCACCCGTTGCAGGCAAGAAATGTGGGATAGATTTAGTAGACAAACAGCATGTTAGCCATTCATCTGTGGACCTATCTCTACGGTTGTCTGGCCGCTGCTGCTCCAAGGAGCAGCTTTTCCTTTCTGCACCAGTGTTATATCCTACTAGCATGGCAAGAAAGTAGGACAATACAACACACAGGTGCAACATAGACACTACATACTGGATATTTGTGCAACGCTTAATTATCCCATGACACTAAAATACAGGAAAATAACCAGAAATATGAGATAGAATTAGTAGACAAGCAGCAGATTAGCCATTCATCTGTGGACCTATCTCTACGGTTGTCTGGCCGCTGCTGCTCCAAGGAGCAGCTTTTCCTTTCTGCACCAGTGTTATATCCTACTAGCACGGCAAGTAAGTAGGACAATACAACACATGTGCAACATAGACACTACATACTGGATATTTGTGCATTGCTAAATTACCCTATGTCTCTAAATACAGGAAAATAATCATTCAAAATGTGAGATAGAATTAGTAGACAAGCAGCAGATTAGCCATTCATCTGTGGATCTATCTCTACGGTTGTCTGGCCGCTGCTGCTCCAAGGAGCAACTTTTCCTTTCTGCACCAGTGTTATATCCTACTAGCACCGCAAGTAGGACAATACATCACAGGTGCAACAGACACTACATACTGGATGTCTCTAAAATACAGGAAAATAATCATTAGAAATGTGAGATAGAATTAGTAGACAAGCAGCAGATTAGCCATTCATCTGTGGATCTATCTCTACGGTTGTCTGGCCGCTGCTGCTCCAAGGAGCAGCTTTTCCTTTTTGCACCAATGTAAATACCCCACAAACACAGTCAGAGAGCAGGGCATACAAAGCAGAGGTGCAACAATTCTCACTTCCTTACGAACTGTGCAAACACACATAAAACATGCATTTTCATCCTCTGTCAACATCAAGTTTCAAGAAAGAATGAATCATTTTGCAAAGAAAAGAAAATGTCAAGTAAACCTAGATATTCACCAATTGGATAAGAGGGCTGTGCGCGCAAGTAAGCAATCAGAGAACTTTGAAATCATATACGGATGTATCAGCATCAGATACTTCAGATCACATGAGTTCTCATTTTTCTTCACAACTTAAAACATGCATATTTTTCCCTCGGCAACAAGAGTGTACACATATGGCAATGAAGATAAGAAAAATGCAAAGGTAAATCTAGATAGGCACCAATTGGATAAGATCCACAGTAGGTAGACTTCAGATGTGTTGATTTCCTTGGCTATAGTACATCTAACAGAAATCAGGTAAGCAAAACTTCAGATGTGTTGATTCCTCATTTTGCTTCTATGTTGCATCTAGCAGAAATCAGGTAAGCAAAACACATCAAGCTACACATGAGATTTGAACATGAAGCGATCAGAGAACTTTGAAGACCATGTAGGTAATATCCACAGCATAAATTCAGATGATTTCGCCTCCTCATTTCGCTTCTAAACAACTGTAACATCATCATGTGCTCGACAAAATCGATCTAAAACATACTAAGCGAATCCAAACTACAGACACCAAGGTGAATGTGGACAGAAAAATTGATTCCGAGGAAAATCGCTGGCTTCCACAGAAGTAACATAGCCCATGTCCAACTGGATTGATTTTGCACCCATAGATACCCTTTTCCCGCAGTTTTCCCTGCTCCAAACCTCAACAGCACAGGGGGCTAATGGTGCGAGTTAACCATAACATAACCATCAAATCCAAGAAACAATAGAAAGAAAAGCATGTGCTCTAGCAATCAGCACTCAAAAGTGGCCAAGATGCAAACAAACGCGATGAACAAACGAAAAAAAAATAAGCAAAAGCTGGAGATCTGAGAGATGTTCCGCTAAGCTGTCGCTGGCGGCGGCTAGGGTTCCAAGGTTTGGAGGAGACGAGGGTTTGCCTCTGCGGTACATATGGGCAGGATGGGGAGGGAACGAGTCTTCCAAGATATAAATGGGCTGGGCTGACGACTTTGGGCTTAACTGGGCCAGCTCTCCATCCGCTCGACTTAACTGGGACCCTCAATAAACAAACTGGGCCAGCTCTCCATCCTCTCTTATACCTGTGAGATATGAGACAACAAAGAAAAACCTGTGTGGATTCTCAAAAAAAAACTGTGTCTTCTAAAAAAAACTGTGAGATATTCTCCCCCTAAAAAAACTGTGAGATATTCTTTCCAAAAAAGAAAAAAACAGTGATATACTTTCGGAAAAAAAAAACAAGGAGAAAATAGCTCATTTGAATAGAAATTAGAATGGATTCTGCTTTACTGATTTTGTTATGCATTATCTGTTCATGGTTCTACATTTTGTGAGCTTTCGTTATCTGCTAGTGAATCACACTACCAATTCAATCCTTCCATCTCCATCACAAAAATTCTATTTTCATGAATACGCAAAGCTTGCGTATCTTTTCATCGATAAAGAGAAAAGTGACAGCATAAAGATCACAACAGCTCACCGGGCCTTGTACACAACATGGCATGCCAGTGAGCAGCGGAGCATACAGAGAAATAGAGGGGATGCTCAGCCCCACATCACAAAAAAACTCATTCGTTTGATTCACATGTGCATATATACAAGAACCAGAGGTTCACAAATTCACAGTGATGGAAATGAAACGAGCAATTAAACACCGTAAGTATACAACATGCTTCTGTTTTAATCGATCACCAGCAGTAAGTATGACAAGGAGTCACTAAATCTCCACGGACATATAGGTCGCCGAGTAGTCGGGCATCCTGTGCAGCCGCGTGAGGATGCCCTCGGCGGCCTGCTTGGCGCCGGCGTCGCCCTTGTGGAAGGCGCTCACCAGCGCCGACGGCAGCACCCTGTCTCCGGTCACCTCCCTCACGCACCGGTCGTCGCCGTGCGCTAGGAACTTGTCCACCATGCAGAAGCACTTGTGCCACAGCACGTTCTCCCTGTGCTGCCTCAGCGCCCCGAGCACGCGCCGAGGGGCGTCCAGCTCCGCGAGGGCGGACACGCTCCTCTCCACGTCCACCCGGTCGTCGACGAGCGTGCACAATGCTCCCAGCGCGGCCTCCACGACCCGGGGGCTGTCGCTCTCGAGGCAGCCGAGGAGACCCTCGACGGCCCCGGCCTCGAGGAGGCAGAAGGATGTCACCGTGGAGCAGACTCCCCGGTGCACCGGGCAGACGGGTTGTTGGTGTTGGAGGGTCTTGTTGCCTTGCACCCTTGTGGTCATTAGGCGCTTCAGCATTGTCTTCTTCTTTGGCCGTGGGTCCTCCTCCGGCGGCATCTGCGACAGCTTGATGGACTGGTAGCTGAGGTTTTCTAGCCCCACGGCGGCGAGCCGCTGCACCTCAGCGCTTCCGGCAGCTCCGGCGAGGAGTTCAGTCAGCACCGAGGCCAAGCTGTGGTCCATCACTTCCTTCAGAACGGTCGGGTTGTACAGCGTCGCGGTGAGCCGCACCAGCGAGCCCACCAGGCCCTCCATGTACTGTACCGCGTACCTGCTCCTTCTCTTTGCACTGCTCTGCATCTCTTCTATCCCGCTCAGCAGAACCGACACGGCGCCCTCCTGCACCAGCGCAAGGTTGAGCGAGATGTTTCGATGTGGTAGCCTTGAGAGGAGTGTCACCGAAGCAGCATGCCGCTCGGTGATTTGCCTGGCATGGCTGATGCTTTTGACTAGCCTGCCCGGCTGCCCCTGCGTCTTGCAGAGCCTCTCGGCGATGGTGTGGCCAATGTGCGCAGACAGAGTAATGAGCAGCCTCGTCGCAGCAATGCTAAGCGCCTCCATTGGGGAGCTCATGAGCTCCACAATGGCATGGCCGCGGTGGTTCTCCCTGACGACTGAGACCATGACATCCAGGGGCTTGGCGAATGCGGTGAGCGCGAGCAGTAGGCGGATGATGCTGAGGTTGAAGTCATCGGGTATGAAGCACTTGAGCATGCACACAAAGTTATAGATGCAATACTTGGACGTGAGGACGTGGCCTTCCTTGTTCACCACGGTGGTGTCTGGATCAATGCCGGACTCAACAATGTTGGCTAGGGCGGTGGCAGCCTTGGCCTTGTAGCTCTCGGGTTCGTCATCTATCTTCCTTATGAAAAGCTCCTCGACCATGACCAGGACAGCACCTGCCTCAACGAGCACCTTGCTGTTGGGTTGGTGCGAGGAAAGCTGGACCAGCACATCGAGTGCTGCCTTATGGACCACCTTGTTGCAACTGCGCACCATCTTGATGAGGACGCCCGACGTGCTCTCCGTGATTTCAATGGTGACTTCCTGGTATAGGACCAACTCGCTTAGGTAGCTGATCATCTCCATCTGCACCTCTTCAGGACCTGTTTTGGAATCTTCATGTCAGCTTAAAGTTCAATTAATTATAGGAGCAACAGGCCTGAGTCTCAAAACCCTTATTTGGGATGTTAAGTTGAGGCAATCCTAACATGTGCAGCTGTAGTGGAACAACTATTAAATGACAAGGGGGTTTATACTTTGTGAAAATCTAGGTGGTTCAAATACAATCAGACTTGCAAGAAAACAATAGCAGATATGCTCTCTTACTGTGCTTAACTAGCATAACACACTTTAATGAACCAAAAAAACGTTATGAAATTTCTTCAGAGGCATACCTTCAACAAGATGACTCCAAAGGGGTTCTAGGTAGCCACTTTCGGCCATGTACTTGATGTTCTTTGGACACTTTTCCAGGTTCTTGAGGACTGCTCCAGATTTCTCAGCAGCAACTGGATCATCAGAATCATTAATCTTCATTGTGGTGAGAATCAGAATACTTCCAGCAGTTGACCCAATTTTCTCCAGCAATAACTGAGACTCTGAAAGCTCTAGCAACAAAGAGACAGCCGCGTGCCTTTCATCAATAGTACTACTTGACAGTAGCTTAACTGTCCTGGCAATGGCCTTGGTTTTTCCAATGATTTCCTGTAATATGCAGCAATTGTTAAAATTCCATCATAATATGCAGCACAGACTTGGTGCCAAGCAGCCGATCAGTTAAGTACTCCCTCCGTAAAGAAATATAAGAGTGCTTAGATCACTAAAGTAGTTATCTAAGCACTCTTATATTTCTTTACAGAGGGAGTACTTGTGTATGCTATTCTAAATTGTAGATGAGTTTACGTAGGGACAAGAAGTTCCTTCTTACCCTTCCTTCTTCATCCTTAACTAACAAGGACAAAAGCTCCAATGTGTCAAGCCGAATCTGTTCATTGTGGTTGTCCAACAAACGTGATAGGACCTTGGTGACACCAATTTTATGCATCAGCTCCTTGTTCTTCCCCCTCAGCTTGGCCAGCGATTTCAGCTCATGTATGGCCTCGAGCACCATAGCCTCACTAGTCGACAAAGAGAGCGCAGTTCGCGCAACTCTAATCCGCATTGCCTCATTCCTCATTCCCCATTCTGCAATCACACTCTTCAGGGAAGCATTACTCATCACTGCCTTACTCTGCAATGGAGCTTTTGTGACAGGGCAGCAGACAGGTTCCAAACTGTCTGCAGACCTCGCAAAATGCTCCTCTATGGCTCTCCTGTCATATGTCACACCGCCCACTGTCATCACAGGATCAGTCATCACCTCTTTTGTCAGTGGACAGAAGAATCCATCATACAGAGGCTCAACATATTCTGTGACCTCTGGGAGAGAGTTAAACGTCTGCCCGCCAAATTCATGTGATTCATGGTACATTCCCTGCAGAAAGTCCACCAGCCTCGGCATGTCACTCTCGTAGACAGACCTCCTATTGGGTATGTCAGTCACTGCATTCATGGACATAGCAACATCGGTGTAGCCCCTCCTTGAGTTTGACTTCATTGCCACGTCAGTGTAAGCATTGTTGCCAAGTGCTGATGCTGGTATCCTGCCAAGATGATCACATATGTTCTGAATGACACTCTCCAGGTCATGTGCTATGCTTTGCATCTCATCATCTGTGAGTTGCAGCGCTCTTCCTCTGCACCTTACAGTGATGTCTTTAGCAAGGTTGACACTGGCAAATAGAGATTCCAGTATCTGTGTCATATTGATTGGGGCCCTGCGAGCTGTTTGACGCTCCATTATGGCCTTGCTAGATGCCATGGAGTCCTCTTGGCTAAAATCGGCAGCGGGTACTATCAACATGACTGCATATCCAAACAGAAGCAGACAACAACAATGCAAATTATCGTTCAGATATGGGAGATAATTATATGCTAGAAAAACAGTGTGACATATTGGACTAGATGCATAGAATTTTCCTGAAGATCGAAGATTTTTCAGAACAACCAAAATCATTGTAAGAGCATAAGCAGAAGGCTTAAGCTACTCAACGATTACTCAAAGTATACCTGTATTTGTTTTTGGCATTATCATCCGGTGTTCCTCTTATAGCATGACTATTTTTCTAACTGACTAAATTAGAGATGTAAAGGCAACAGCCTTTTCTGCCTGAAGTATATCGATCACAAAAGACACCTAAAAACTATGAAATTGTAATCCTTAGGGAGGCAAAGCATAATTTGATTACTCCGAGAACAGAAATCTCTTTGACAAAAGGATAATATGTTCTCCCCAGGAGCACTTACTGCCATGTCCCTCCACAAAGCCTCCAAACGAGTAATCTCTCCAAACAAACGAATGAAGATTACAGCTATAATAAAGAACCTTACCTGTATCCATAACATCCAAGAGATTTGAGCACTGTGACTCTGTGTGGACTGTAGAGGAGTTATAGAATTAGCGGCTTTGCCTCCTTTTTCGCCAGAACAGCACCCGCTGTATCTCCTCTGAAGCACATTCTACGACAGAAGAATGCAGATATAGAAGACCCAGCAGAATGGATGCACTATGTGACCCCTTTTAATACTGCACTTACTTATCAAAGGAAAGGACAGTTGATGACGCTATCCACATAAAAGAAGAACACAATCAATGAGTGACAGTCTTGGTGATGGAATGAAATATTTCTGCAAGCAAGAAGCATGAAGTTCTTAATAGGAACAAAGTTAGGTGATAGGTAGGTTTGGCAAGCTAACCCAAAAGAACCTAATGACAATGCCATCCTTATCGCTGAAAACTATATAGCGTAGATTAATGGAAAATTGGGATTGGTAAGCATGCCCCTCCAAAGTTTGCTGTTATGAAGTATGCCATTGGATGTTGCAGTGGAATGTCATACTCAGGTACAGCAATTCAAAAGTGATAGCTTTGCTGTTGCATGGTTCCAAATTTCCCTAGATTAATAGAGGATAGCAGTCGATACCATCAGCAGCCAAAAAGTCATAACGCCTGATTGCCACAACTCAGCATGAAGTAATGGATGTTTAAAATATATATAAAAAAAGATGCAGATTATAATCGCAGGTGATAGCGACAGCAATCTTCTTTGAACAATTTAGACTGGGCTAAAACGTAAGCACTTGAAAAATGGCACCACAACTAACTTGTCATCATAATATAATACATCTAGGCAGGTTTGAACTAATGTCTTCAGAATTCTATAGGACAAAATTCACTGAAGTCAACACAAGTTCAACTGCACAAGCTACTTCTCACAAATTTAAGCTTGTGAAACGAAGGGATAGAGATTATTCCATAGTCCCACAAATGAAACCGAGGGACGAACTCGTACCAAACCTTTACTAGCTACTGCTATAATCTGATAATATGCTCGGATGTAGACATGGAGTCGATGCAACAAAGTCAGGTTATAGCTATGAAAAAAGCATCACAAGCGACATAATGAATGTTGATCGTTGAACAACCATAGAATAAGGGTGGCGGCATGACAAAAGGGCAGATTCTTTTTGTAAGCATCTATCAAAATGCTGAAGTCATAACTTTGTACGCATCAACCAAATTGCTGAAGTCAATGGCGTGCACCAGTCTAAGACAAAACTAGTCAACTACCATGTACCAAATCCAAATGCATCGCGCGGCCATGATATTCTATGACTGTGCGGCGGAGACCGGAGGGAGGTACCGGAGGCTGCGGACGGAGGTGCTCCCGGGGCCCAAAGCCCGGCAGGGCGGCGCGGCGGAGCTCATCCGGCTCCGACTTGGGCTCTAGGTTTCTCGTCATTTGGAGCTAAGAGTTGAAATTGGCTCCACACGCGCGCGGAAGCGCGCGCCACGGGGTCGCCGTGACGTACGCCTGCTTTTCGCGGACGGACGGCGGAGACCGACCCCGGCTTCGCCGCCGCCGCCGCCGCCGTGTAACCCCCCAGCACGGCGACGTCGGCGAGGCGGCGTCCCGGGCGGATCGGGACAGATTCTGCCCAGTCCGAAACTGGGCCTAATCAAGCCCAGCGATCTACACGGCCCATGTCTTCACACAGATAATTTTCTTAAGATGTAGAGCCCAACACAAATAACCATCCACTGCAGCACACTTTCTCTCAAAAAAAAAAATATCCACTGCAGCACAAACTTAATCTGAAAGAAAAGACTCAAAAAAAACTTTAAGTTCAAAGTTGCCTTCCGACACGTAAAAAAGAAACTTCTTTCGGACGTACTTCAAAAAGAAAATTTGTCTTTTGACGGCGTGGGCACTCACGGAAAGTCGAATTTACCTGGCCAAACCCACCAGAACAGGATCCGACCTGACCAAAACATAACTATAATTGAAGGATATTGGTAGCGTACACATATTGTCATTGGTGGGGACCAGTTATGTTATGGTGACGACGGTGCAGGAATAATGCGAAGTGGGCGTCACCCCCCCCCCCTCCCTGTGTTTTTCACCGCCATGGAGGTGAAAGAAATGGGGAGGTTGGATCAGTGTACTGTGTACAACGCTATAGGATCTGTCGTTTCACGGGTTTGGAAGCCGACATGCAAGCTCATCACCAGATCTTTTACCATTATACATTGACCTTCACCCTGGAACAACATATCGAAATCGAAGAAGTAATTGGTTCAATTGAGCTTCTATTTAATCTCCATGGTGAGGCTCTCTTCCCCTTGCTCGATGCTACCAAGTTTTTGGCCAGAAATGGTGGCCAGAGCACCTCTAGTGAGGTTGTAAGATGCAGTTGGACCAAGTTGCAATCTAGGTTTTATCTTTATGATTCTATTTGCTAAAAGGAAGGATATGCACGTAATTGCTATTTTTTTCAAATTTTTTAATATTGTGACAATTTTGGTACTATAAGGACCTCCACTATATTATCGGTGCCAAATTACTGAAAAAGGTGCCACATCACCACCGATCCCAAATGAGAATTGTATGGCACCGGCTTCACAACGGAGGGCACCACTCGATCAAAGAAGGCGACCCCACACAAATAAACATCATTGACCTACTGTCAGGTGCCTTGGCCGAGTTCTTCCTCTCCCCCAAAGAAATCCCCTTCGTCTATCCAAACCAAATCAGAAACTTCGTTCTTATCCCTTTCCAAATCCACACGGTGCTGCTTATCCATGTATGCCACCCTCCTCAACACCAAGCGGAGCGACTGGAGTTCGCAAGTAGGATGACCTTGAGGAGGGGATCAGATATGGCAGAGCGGGTTGACCTCGGACGAAGGTTGCCGGTGTCGGGCTATGCGTTAGTGATCTGCGTGTTGGGGAACGTTGCAGAAAATAAAAAATTTCCTACGGTTTCACCAAGATCCATCTATGAGTTCATCTAAGCAACGAGTGAAAGGGGAGATGCATCTACATACCACTTTGTAGATCGCGAGCGGAAGCGTTCAAAAGAACGGGGTTGAAGTAGTCGTTCTCGTCGTGATCCTATCACCGGAGATCCTAGCGCCGAACGGACGGCACCTCCGCATTCAACACACGTACGGTCAGCGTGATGTCTCCTCCGTCTTGATCCAGCAAGAGGGAAGGAGAGGTTGATGATGATCTAGCAGCACGACGGCGTGGTGGTGGATGCAGCAGAATTCCGGCAGGGCTTCGCTAAGCTGCTGCGGGAGGAGGACGAGGTGTAGCAGGGGAGGGAGGCGCCAAGACTTGGGTGCGGCTGCCCTCCCCCCTGCCCTCCTTTATATAGGCCCCCAGGGGGGGCGCTGGCCCTGGGAGATCAATCTCCCAAGGGGGGCGGCGGCCAAGGGGGGTGGAGTGCCCCCCAAGGCAAGTGGTGCGCCCCCCACCTAGGGTTTCCAACCCTAGGCGCAGGGGGGCCCAAGGGGGGCGCACCAGCCCACTAGGGGCTGGTTCCCCTCCCACTTCAGCCCACGGGGACCTCCGGGATAGGTGGCCCCACCCGGTGGACCCCCGGGACCCTTCCGGTGGTCCCGGTACAATACCGGGTGACCCCGAAACTTTCCCGATGGCCGAAACAGCACTTTCTATATAGTTTTCTTTACCTCCGAACCATTCCGGAACTCCTCGTGACGTCCGGGATCTCATCCGGGACTCCGAACAACACGGTTTTCTGCATACTCATATTCATACAACCCTAGCGTCACCGAACCTTAAGTGTGTAGACCCTACGGGTTCGGGAGACATGCAGACATGACCGAGACGGCTCTCCGGTCAATAACCAACAGCGGGATCTGGATACCCATGTTGGCTCCCACATACTCCTCGATGATCTCATCGGATGAACCATGATGTCGAGGGTTCAAGCAACCCCGTATACTATTCCCTTTGTCAGATGGTATGTTACTTGCCCGAGACTCGATCGTCGGTATCCCAATACCTCGTTCAGTCTCGTTACCGGCAAGTCACTTTACTCGTACCGTAATGCATGATCCCGTGACCAGACACTTGGTCACTTTGAGCTCATTATGATGATGCACTACCGAGTGGGCCCAGTGATACCTCTCCGTCATACGGAGTGACAAATCCCAGTCTCAATCCGTGTCAACCCAACAGACACTTTCGGAGATACCTGTAGTGCACCTTTATAGTCACCCAGTTACGTTGTGACGTTTGGTACACCCAAAGCACTCCTACGGTATCCGGGAGTTACACGATCTCATGGTCTAAGGAAGAGATACTTGACATTGGAAAAGCTCTAGCAAAACAAACTACACGATCTTGTGCTATGCTTAGGAATGGGTCTTGTCCATCACATCATTCTCCTAATGATATGATCCCGTTGTCAATGACATCTAATGTCCATAGTCAGGAAACCATGACTATCTGTTGACCAACGAGCTAGTCAACTAGAGGCTTACTAGGGACGTATTGTGGTCTATGTATTCACACGTGTATTACGATTTCCGGATAATACAATTATAGCATGAATAAAAGACAATTATCATGAACAAGGAAATATAATAATAATACTTTTATTATTGCCTCTAGGGCATATTTCCAACAGTCTCCCACTTGCACTAGAG